GGATCTTTCTCTTGATCAAAGCTCAACCCGGATTTCGTCTCCTTTCGGCAGCTTATAGGATTTGTCACGTTGGTCAACGGGGGCGGTGTGTCTTCTCGTGAGCTGTGAGTCGTACGAAGGGTCCTTTTCCCGTCGAGAAGACGTCTGGTCCCGCTCGTCAATTACCTTGACATTGCTGTCCCGGTGGGAACGGCGACGGCTGTCCTTATCAGCGCGAGCGTAATCATCACGCTCTGTCTTTTCCGGGTAGTCGGTCCGGCCTGAGCGACGCTCCTGGTACCGATCTTCACGCGGATAATCACGATAGTCGCGCGAGTCGCGGGCGCCGCGAGGGTCACGAGGGTCTCGGACGTCGCGACTGTCACGAACATCGCGAGAGTCCTTCCGGCTCGAGGCCACCGCTGCGCCTATAGCCGCAGCCGCAACGCCAGCAACGGCGGCACCGGCGAGGCTGCCACCGTCGGTGTGCCTACGTTCGCCGCGGAGTTCCCTGCGGCCGTCCTCATCAGCGAGCTTCTCGGTTGCATAGACTTTGGACGAGACGGGGGCCACGGGGATGGGCTGCTGCAGCGGCACGGGAGGGGGGCGTGAGGACTGGGATGCTGTGTGCCGAGAGGAGATGATCGATCCGCGGTCAATATCGAAGTTGTTCGGATCCGAGGTTGGGATAGCATAGACATGCTGCATGGGCTGCTTGCCGATCCTTGACGACGACGAAGGGGTATCGGCCTTTGGCTCCTCGGACTGGTGGCGCGGAGAGTTGTAGACATGAGAGGGCTGCGTAAACGGGATCGGCGTCACTGAGCCCCGGAGGGAGTTGTAAGGTCCAAAAAGGCTGGGGTCCACAGCATGGTTCCGGTTCCCATCATGCGCTGCCTGGCTGGCTGGTGCCCCCAGTGAGCTAGGCAAGTTGGCGGTCGAGCCGTAGACGAGTCCAGGGTCAGCATCGTCGCTTGACGAAGAGTCATCGTCGTCAGACGCAGACTCCCAGTCAGAGTCCTCGTCGTCACGCCCAGGTCGGGAGCTGCCGATGCCCCGTTTGGAGCTATCCTTGGTCCTCGAACGACTGAAAGCACTCAGAGCGGCGGCGGCGCCGACCAACGTGGAAGGGCGCACCTTGCCGGAAGCACGTAGATCAGCCTCGTTCTGCTTGCGCGCAATATCAGAGAGCTGGCGGCCGATGGCGAGGATCTCCTCATCTGTCTTGGCCTGTTCGGCTTTGCCACCACGAACAGAGAGAGGAGGGCGGTGCAGCTCGGCGGTGGGTGTTCGACGAGTGCTCTGGCTGTACTGGCTTCCCTTTCCGTTGGGGCCAGGGCTCACGCGACGGCTGCCGCTCGCCAGGCTGCCGCCCTCGCGAGGGATGTATCCACGTCCATAGGCGAGGTCCGAGTCGAGGGAAGAGGACGATGAGTTGGCGCCGAAGGACATGAAGCGCGTGTTCTTCTTCTTCTGGCGACGGCGGTGGCGCTGCTCGGAAGGACTGCGGAAGAAGGTGGTGAAGACGTTGCCTGCCTTGGCGTGCTTTGGGCTTCGGCGTGAGACGTTGAGCAGCGAGGACGATGTGTCGGAGGAGCTGTCCGAGTTTCGGGCACGTCCATTGGGATACGAATGTACGGTTTCCCCATAGTAAGGCGCTTGTGGATGCGCGGGGTATTGAGAAGGCGACTGGTGCTGTTGGGAATACTGATTTTGCGGATACTGCTGGTACTGCTGGGGGTATTGCTGGAACGACGACTGCTGAGGCTGGTACGTCTGTGGTTGTTGTTGTTGTTGTTGTTGGTACGGAGACTGTTGCGGCAGCGGCTGTTGGTAGGCAGACTGGTACTGAGGCTGCGGTGTCTGGGCCTGGTCGTGATACTGATGGTTGTACTGGTACTGCGACTGCGACTGCGACTGCGACGACAGCTGTGGGTGGGATCGCGAAGACGACGTCTCGGGCGGCGCGCGCGATGTCTCGGTCACCCGGGGCGCGGGGTCCTCTGGCATGCTACCGGGCATGGGCCCTGGCATCTCCATGCTTCGGGTCGCGCTCTCGCTGGCGCTAGGGGCGGAGACGAGCTCGATCTTGTCGCGCGAGTTGCGACGCTCTTTTCTCCGTCGCCGGGAGCTCTCGGTCGGGCTCCGCCGACGAGAATCTCGCATCATGGTGACAGCGGTGGCGGGTAGCTGTCGAGCATTGGTGTGTGTTGATCTGATCGCGTATTGTTCCTTCTTTCTTCCCGAGTAGATGCGACGAAAATAGAGGGAATCGTGCAAACAAAATGTCGCGTCGCTATCGGGTACAGACACACTCGCTGAAAGAGGGAAGGGGGGTGGTAATCAATCACACTCTGTGATGATGTTTGGTGGTTTGCGATGTGGCGGTGGGAGGGTGTTGTTTTGTTTGGAGAAATGGCACCTCGACTACCTCTCTACCTCACTCACTTGGCTCCTCGGTGTAAGGCAGGTGGTAGGTGCCTTACTCCTTCTGACTGCTCAGGCCGGACCAGAGTCTAGGGGGGTGGGCCACGCTGTGTGGGCTCGCTGTGTGGGCGCTTCTTTGCTGCACGAGCAGGCACAAGCGACATTGGACCCCAGTTAGGTGCGCCTTGAGATCAGCTGTACTTTCCTGCTTTGCTGTGCTTTCGATGGACTACTGGCAGGAGCTCTCGGCCAAGGTCCTTTTTTATGACTAGGTACTGGCAGGTGCTCTCCAACGGGTTCCTACCATAGACCTTTACCTGCCTTGATTAACTTTAAGATAGGTAGGTATGCCAGCTCCAGGTACCTTATTGTATACCTCCCTTAGGTCGTTGGCAGTCAACACAAAGACACAAAGACAAAGAGAGCGACAGAGGTCGGGTGGTCCAGCGAGCGGGACAGGCCGTCGCTAGGTACCTCCCCTAAGGTAGGGGAGGAGGGGAACGCCCTCTCTCCCGGCTCTGATGAATTGGCGGTGGCTGGGGACGGGGACGAGTACTCGAGTCCCCACCCATTCTCACGCTTCACCTTGCCCCTAGCGTCGTCGCCACTCTTGTCCATCCAACCTGTCGTCCACTCAAGCGTACGCACCCTGACCGCCGCCAGCGCATTCAATCTACCCAGGTACGTGCCTTGCAGGCCGTACGTACT